TTGGACTCCCGGTCACGATTCTTCCCCTTGGACTGTTTCTTCCGGTCCCTATCGTCCCTGCCTTTACCCTTGGGCTTGGAAGACTCGAACTTGTTCAGAGGCTTGAACTCTATCAAGGCCTCGGCAGTAGTCATGGCTTTAGCGAAGTCATGAACTCCTGTCCTTTGTAGCTCATGCTTCACCCACGGCTTCAGCCCATCCATGAAAGCAAATAAGGCGTCCTTCTCGCCTAGATCCGAGATCTGTAGCATCAATTCAAAGAATTTTTGGACATACTCTCTTATGTCTCCTTGTTGGCTCAGCCTGCGCAACTTTGCCCGCGCCTAATCATCGACATACTACGGGTAAAATTGTTCTCTGAACTCCTTTTGGAACTCTGCCCGAGTTCCAATCTTGGCGCTCCCACGCCTGACATCATCACACATGTGCCTCTACCACAATAAGGCTACATTAGTGAGATACATAGCAGCGGTGCTTACCTTTATCGCCTCGTCTTGCATGCCCGTGGCCTGGAAGTACTGCTCCATACCCTAAAGGTAGTTGTCTACTTTCTTGGCCGCCCTAGTCCCCTTGAACTCCTTAGGCTTGGGGACATCCAATCTGGATTTGGACACTCCAGCAGACATGCCATTCCCAATGGCAGTCTTGCAAGTAACGAGCTCACTGGTAAGCTCTTCCATCCGCTGGCGCATGGCCTCCATGCCATCTCGCAAAGTCAGCACTTTCGCCTCCAAGGATTCATTCTTTCGGGTGACCACATCCAGGCCTTTGTTGAGAGTAGCTTCTAGCTCACTTTGGATCTCCTCCCTTATGGAGTCTAGCGATGCAATGTGAGTTTCTACTTCCTCAAGCTTCTCCCCCATGTCGCCCATGGTTACCTCCACCTTGGCCAGCCTACCGTCTATGGTAGACCAGATATCTCTCGAATCGGCTTTCTTGCCTCTTCCACGCCCATGCTCCTGGGCCTCTGGTTGTTGGCTAGCAACGTCGCTTTGGGATGCCATCTCCTCATTCACGATCTAACCTGCACAACACAAACACGCAGAATCGAACTTGCTCTGATACCAACTGTCACGGGCTCCGACTTTAGACTCAGAATCCGTGCGGCCTTAGGCTTGGAATCTCCTCCTTTATGCCTAAGTTAGCCTAAAACACAAGCGTGCGGGCACTAGAACAATGGGAAGGGCTGATTACGCAAGTTAAAGAGAAACAGGATAAGAAGACAGAATTCTGGAAATGCTCTTGTATTAACTGAAACAGAAGTGTTTGATGGTGTACAAATGAGGGTGGAGCAGCCCTCTATTTATAGTTGAGGCTCAAACTACAACTTAATGGCATATCCCTAGAATAAAGGCTAAAATCATGGGATTATACAGATTACATTCAATCAGGATGCTAACTCCTGATTTTTAGGGTCAATCAAATCTGCCAGGATGCTCCTGCCTACTTCCAGAAGCTTCCCTTGCGTGTCCAGCGCCTTGGGCCTTTTTGGATGTGGTGCGAGCAGCTTGTATGCCAGGCCTTGGTCTCACGGGCTGGCCTGCAAGTCGGGCGGGCGTTCTGAGCTCGTTTACTAGGCTTTGTGCACAGATACTCGCCAGCATGCCTGGTCTGCGGGCCTCAACCTCTGGCTCGCCTGCTGGTTTGCCTGATGTGCCTAGCGCGCCCGCCCAAGGCGTGACACATGCTCTAGGCTAACTAACCATTCTTGCTATGGTTCTAAAAAGGTTAAAAGGAAAACAATTCAATAGGTTTTTTCATCACCACATATGTTTGTCAAATTGTAGTAACACAAACCCCCTTTCTAGTTCCAAATGGTAGAATCAATGTCACAAGTCCAAAGCAACGTTGTCAAGGCTCATGCCTTAGCGCTAAGGTGCAGCGCCACACAACAAAAAGGGCTCAGACCCTTTTGAGCGAGGAACGAGGCACATTTCATTAAGCACACTTTTTTTATAAAGCACTTGGCACAAAAAAAGCCTGCCTGATTGAAGTTCTCTTGCATTTCTTTTATTCTTTTTCATTAACTTTACTTTTAACAGAAAACAATGGGCAATATCAAACTCTCTTCTTCTTAATGTTTGAGTATTCAACAACATATTGGGGACTGTAATGAAATAGTGCATATTGTCAAAAAAAAAAAAAAGAGAAAGAAAAAAGGAAATTTTGCACGTTTTTTAGGATAAAAGTGGACCACTCTTTAGAGTTTATTAATAGAATTATATATGTTAAGCTTATTTTGGGTTTACACCCACATACATATTGCACATTACTTCACTTAGGGGAGTGCTTTTTATGCACCTTGTGCCGCAGGCAATATAAGGGTTCTAGGCTTTTAGCGCCTCGAGTGTGTAAAATTATTCTAATTCTATAAAATACCTTTCTGTGAAAGGAGTGCATCTTAACCTCTATCACATGCTTCATATTCATATTTTGGTGGTATATCCATATCAAATGCATACTACCCGGAAATCATTTGATCAGCCACAACTTGTAACATAGCAAATCCAAATGGAAAAGTTAACTTACCCTCTAGCCTGAATTTGCCACGAAGTTGGCCGATCCATCCAAAGCACTGGAAATAATCTAAGAGGCTCGCAAGAATTATATCCTGTAGAGCACACAATCTATAGAACTTGCCATACTAAACAGTTGAGACAATTTAGGTGCAGCCTCCCGCCATGCCACACCAAGTAACAGCAAAACAGACATGCCATACAAGAGCATGTATATGAGACAAATTAGGATGGTTGTAGCTTGGGAATCAATCAAATGCTGGCCATCTTTCTGTAGATAGAAGGCAAGTCACAAAAGATTTAATAATTATAATGAGTGAATCAAATTAGTCAAGGATGATGCTTAAATATCATCCAAGTATTAGCAAGTTGGACAACAAAATCCTGCACTGCTACTAGTATTCGGAAATATTACTCTTCCTGATTCATTCACTCTATCACTGCATCAATGCTTTATGAATATAACTATATCACAATCCTATTAATCACTTCAATGTAAAACAAAACAAAATACAATAAAATACATTCAAAGATTTTTTCCACCTCTCCATATCCTACAAAAAGGAACACATTGTAAATAAAATATCTTTGTTTCATCCAAAAGATTAAACGTGTTTCTTTCAGATTCCTGAATCTAGGCCAAGAATCCTCAGAAATGCCGAAAGAGTGAGATCATGTAAAATAATGCATTTTCTATAACTCAGAGTCTCAAGCACTCAAGTCATAACAAATACTTACATGGATAAATTAGGACAAGCAGTTATACTGATAAGAGCAAGCTAAGCTGTTATTCATAATTTAATTTTGAATACCCAAAAAGCTTCATAATAAAATTTTCGGAGGAATTCAAATTATATATAAAATAATCCATAGCAATCAAACTTATGAAACTTGAAAGAACCAACTACAAAGAAAAGAACAGAAATTTCAGGCAGCTGCAGTAATCCGCAGCAAATGGACAGCAAATTAAACGGGGAAATGAGGAAATTTTATAAAGCAACCAAGCTAAACTAAGTCCTTAACTGTTAATTTCTTCCCGTATAGCTTCATTTCAATAAAATTTGCTTCCTGATTAGAGAGTAATTTTTAAAATGGGATACTCAGAATGTGGAAAAATAAAGGCAAAAATAAAATAGACTAAGAAACTTGTTCAAGCTGTGCATTATAAATTTTAAAGTCCTTTCCAGGTTTAATATTTATAAGATTAGTCAGGATATAATAGTATGGTTGTGAAAGGTTTTCTGACAATATATATCACAAAAGGGAAATTCCTTACTATCTGTGGCTAGTATAAATTGCTGCATGAAAGAATATTTTTGACATGATCCAATGACCAAAAATAACCTACTGCTATAAAAACCATGGATACTATGAACTGAACTAATTTAGCTTTGAGAACACATGTACACACAGCAAGGCCTTAATTGATGTAGCTTCCTCATGATAAGATTAGGGTACCAAGGATGAAAACTGCTTTTGCCAACTCTAAAAGTATTCATGGCAGTAGAAATATGAAAAAAAAAAAAGCTGTCAAGCCATACATATATGCAATTGCAAACAGATTCTAACTCTTTTGCAAGGAAAAAAAAGAATCGTCACCATAGAACAAATAAGTAAACAGAACAAACATCTACAGCAAACAAAAATCAGTTAGAAGTACAACCATCTAAAAGAAGAAAGAAATGATGTCTCTAACCTCTGCTCGTATGAAACAAATGGAATTATTACATGTATATAAAATAAATTAACAAATGAAAGATAGACAAAAATTAGTTTCCTTTGTCAGAGATAGTAAAAAGAGTTTGATCTCATGGCTATAGAATTAGAGCTTCTTTTTTAATATTTTATCATCTTTGGATGAAGAATTTATTTGTCAAAAATGAAGATAAATTTCTGAAAATTGCAGAAACCCCAACTTAAAAGATTAGTTAGGAAGTTAAAACACAATATATGTAAACAAGATAAAAGTATTTACCACATGATCTTGGTTTCCCCATGCCTAAATAACTTTCAAGGTTAAATGGCCGAACAAAAGTTATGGTTTTAGGATTTGGTTATTGTCTAATTGAATTACAAAGAAGACAGGAGACTGTGAGAGAAGTCACCTCAAAATCTAAAACCTAGGGCCTGCAATGTGATTATATTATGTTATGTTCTTCAGACATTTGGAGCTTTTACCTTACATTTCTTGCCTGATATAAAGTGTTGGTGCAGTTATATAGTAACCAATAATTTTAATCTTACTAAATATACAAAGGGATTAACTTATTTTGTCAAATCCATTAATAGCAAACCAGTCCAAATTTAATAATTAAGAAGAAAATCTTCCTTTACTCTCAATAAAGTAATACTAAAAACCGATAAAAAAAATCAAGTATAACCAGTAACAATAGTTACCAAATATATCAAATATGAAAACTTGCAGTGTGTATTGTATTCTTTTGTAAATGGAATGGTCTTTGATCTTAGCTTTATGTAAAGCAGGTGAAGAAAATGATACTTCATGCTTTGAGCTTTGCCGTGGAGGAATTGGAGAAGCTCACTGCATGAGTCTCTTAATCCCATCTTTTAAAAACTTTCAACTTTTCGTGGTATCTTTTGTTTATATATTATAATCTTGACAGCAACAATGGCAGGTATTATAAATTATTCAAACTAACTCAAAGGACATCTAGTTGCACTCTCATTTGAAAAAAAAAGAAACTTTCAGACGTGATCTGTTCTTTTTGTTTGTCTGAAAGTTGTCATTGGTTTTGGTAAGGACCTCAGTGTTTGTGCAAACTCTATGTTCTGATGGAAATTGAAGTGCAAATTAAATTATATCTTCATAGATATTTACTCATTTAATGCATAATTTTTGACTAACCCCGTGATTGCTATGATATTGTTATCATTTGATCAAAAGTGGAAGTTTTGTATGCAACTCCAACGTAGGTACATTCCAGCTCTGTGGCATAGTTGTTCATTAGTCGAATAACAAATACAAGAAGCATCTTTTTGCATCCATAGGATCTTCATTCCTTAAAACGCATGGAAAAATCACCATGTGATAGTATTCGATTAAAGTGAAGTAGGGTCTCATTTCTTTAAGCTCTTCCTTAATAACATATATGCAGCTTCATACACACTTAGCATTCCCTTAACATCAACCATTAGGGTTTTTTTTTTACTTACCATCATTGTCCTTCAACTTATTATTTACACCTGTTTCACGTGTGTGTGTGTGTGTGTGTATGTATGTATGTATTTTATGATTTTTATGGAATATGGATTATTAGTTTTTTTTTTTTCAGAAAATATGGACTATCAGTTAGACAGTTGGTAGCAATAAATTCTAAATTAAATAAATAGACTAATAAAAAAGTGATTATTATTTGCTTAATCCCATATCTAATATCGGATTTTGATTTTGTACAAAGTTTAAAAAAGTTTCACTTATATATTTATTACAATCATCGATTATGAAAGCTTGAAAAAGTGAAGAAACTGAATGTTGTAAAGTTAAGGGTGATAAAGGGTAAGTGATAAGATGTGTTCTTTTAAAGTTTTGAAATGATATTTATTTTAGTTATCTAAACTATAAACATATGCAAAAGGTATTTATTAGAGGGACTCATAAATTTATAATCTATAATTTATATTATATATGGGAGTATGAATGTGATTAGAGGTGGCAATAGTTATTAGTTAATTTCACTTCAAAAGTTTGCTCGATGGATATGATTTCAAAGTTGATCATCGTGATTTTATTAAAAATGTCAGCAATTTAAATTTAAATTGATTTTATTTTGAATTGATTTGAAAATAAATTATTTTGAATTTAAAATGAATTAATTTAAATTTACTATTAGAATTAAATTGGAGAATTGTTTTGGTTTTCATTGAAATTTTATATTTTTATTTTTGAAAGGGAAAAATATTAGAAGATAAAAAGGTGATCAATTAATTAATTTTGTTTTATGTATAAATTTTTATTAATTTATTAATATTTATTAATAAGTAAAAAATCTAAAAATTAGTTATTAAATTTAAATAAAATATATTTTGGAGGTAGAATAATAAAATTAAAATGTTAAAGTTAAATAATTTAAAAATAATTTGTTAATAGTATAAAATTAATTTTGTTAAAAATTTATTAATGATTTTTTTATTAATTAATATTTAGTATTTATTTTTAATATTTCATGAATTAATTTTTAGATTGTTATTAGTGATTCATGTTGATGTTTTATACAATTATATTCATTCACATTGCTCATTATTAATGAATTAAAAATGAGCAAATAAGTAGATAATTTCAAGAAGATTTACCATTAAAGAATCACTAAAGAATATGATAATATTAAAAAGAGTACTATTAGTGTTGATTACTTAATTTGCATAATCGTGTAATCTTAAAGCGTAAATAAAAATGAAGATGGTATAATTATTTATTGACTATTGATATGATATGACATGACATGACACTATATTTTTAAGTGGTTAGTTTAGTTTTAATTTTTAAGTTAAAACATTTGATTTTGATTGTTAATTTTATGTATAATAAAAGCAATATAAGTATAATTGTATATACAAATTATACTATATAATTTTTCTTTATAATTTTGTTCATAAAATAACTTAAAAAATGTATTTGTTTAATACAACTAATTTTAATACTAATACTTATATACTATAAGATCACTATATTTAATAGATAAATGAATAAATATAATTTTAATTATATTGATTTGATTTTAAAAGGTAACAAATTAAATATGAATAATCAAAATGTTAAACCCTAATTAAATTGAGGGTCAAATCCAAAATATTTAAAATTGAAATGATTTGAACCCAAATTGACTTATCTTAAAATGTCATAAACTTGAAATGATTTAATTTTCTTTTATTTGAATCCAACTTGATTTGAATTTAAATTGATTCGAATTTTTCTTAATCTCAAATGATCCAACCTAAAATAGCCCAACAAAAACCAATTCTATTTGTCCGTTTGTCACCTTTAGATGTGATGAATCTTTTAAAATGATGGAAATGGACATTTATCTTAATTGTATTCCTGAATTATCCTTTTAAATAATTTATATATTCTTTAATATTAAGATTTATCCAAAAACAATGATTTATTAGCTTTATAAAACTGGTTTTAATTAGATATGATCCAACTTGGCTAGTCATCTTTATCAAATTATCACTATATTGTAACAATCCTTTCCACCAACCTATTGGGTTGAGTGAATTAAATTTTGTTAACTCAAGTGTAAATAATAATGCAAATGGAGGTGAATTTGATTATTTTCAAATTCTATCTTAAAAATAAATTTCAATAAATTTAATGAGAAGCTTAAAATAATAAAACCTTTAATGATTGATATATAATTAATATGTTACTAAATATAATCTTTTTAGTACAAGCCAATAAAGTTGCAAATGAAGTTTCATTTAGTTGATAACACTATGAACAAAGAATTTAGCCAAAATGTTTTGAGAATTTGCATAATATGGAATAATTATATGCACCATAATATTGTGGGTACAAAAAAGAATGTTTATTGCATTAATGAAAATTTATCAAAAAATAAAAATTCACATGTTTCTAATTTGGTGAATTAATTTAAAAATGTGTATATAGAATAAGCTTAAAGGTTATAAATTCCAAAAGTATGCAAATTAGTTCAATTCTTAATTGAATTCAAACTCTTAAGAAATGATAATAACATTTGAAAACGAAAATTTTCATTTAAGATATCATATAAAATATGATATATTTAAATATGTTCATAATAAATTCAACAAGATGTCATCATTAGAAAATATGAAGATGACATGATAATTTTGGTACGAACCATATTAAAATAGCAAAAGTTTTTTTATGAAGTTTAAAGAGTTGTGCATATATTTGGGAATAAAATGTTATATAAGACATCATCTTACAATTATTTAAATGACAAGTGAATTTTTCCAAATAAAAAGATTCTAAGGTGACATTTAGTTTGGGGAAAGTAAGATTACTTCCTAGAATCTTACTTTTTGTAATGTGATTTCTAAGTTTGGTTATGATAATGTAATTCTCTAAGTTTTTTAAGATTTTCAATAGTATCAAGAAGAGGGAAAATAACCATGAATCATAAACTCTTGTTTCCCTAAAGTTTTTAAGATTCTTAATGGAATGCAAAATTTATCTCACTTTTGCCATTGGTAAATGGTTTTTATAGTGTATTTCACTTTTCAATATCAAAGAAGTAGCATGATAGATTGAGATCCAGATTGACACGCACAAAGCATTCCAAATATCATTTTTTGACACTTGGCAATGATCATATTTAAATTTTATTTTTTAGAAAATACAAAATTAATTTAGTTTTTATTTGTATTGAGTTTTTACTCATTAGGATTAAATTTGTATTTAGTTTTTGTATTTGATTGGAATTTATTCAATAAAAATATAATAATTACTAACATATGTATATTTTTTAAATAATATTAAATTATTTGAAATTAAAATATGTTAAACTCATTTATGGATTATAATTAAATTTTTTAGTTTTAATTTATTAAAAAATTATTTTTTAAAATTCTATAACTTCAATCTTGAAAATATAGAAGTTTGACAAAAATTATTTTTCAAAATTCTATAATTTCACCATAGACTATTATTTTTAGATTTAAAATATAGTATTTGTTGAAAATATATTATAAAAAAATTTAGTTTTATTACTTTTTGGGTTTATTAATTTCATAAATATTAAATTAATCATTTACATTTTAAATAAGTAGATAGATAAAAAATTTAGCATGTTAAATAAATAAAAAAATTATTTTTATTACTTTTTAGGTTTCAATAAAAACTACATTTTTAAAATTAAAAATGTAGTTTTTATTGAAAAAAATATTATAAAAAAATTTATTTTTTCTTTTAACTCTTGGGTTTTAACAAAAATTAAAATTTTTAAATAAAAACATAGTCTTTAAATAAATACTATGATTTTTTTTTAGAACAACGTAATTTTTAAATAATAAAAGACTACGCTTTACTAAAAAAAAGGTACTTTTATACTTAAGATTACATTTTTCTTGAAAAAAAAAAGGTAGTCTCTTACATTAAAAAAAACTCGATAAGGGAAAAAACCAAAAAGTATTTTTAACAATTTTTAATTATTTGTTAATTTTGTAAATATTAAATCAATCATTTACATGTTAAATAAATAAAACATTTATTTTTATTACTTATTGGTTTTCAACAAAGATTAAAAACGTAACTTTTGTTAAAAATATAATATAAAAAATTATTTTTTTCTTTTCACTCTTGGATTTCAATAGTCTTTGGTATCAAGATTACATTTTTTTGAAGAAAAACGTAGTCTTTAAATGATAAAAGATTACGTTTTTGGAAGAAAAACATAGTTATACGAAAAATTACATTTTTCTTAAAAAAAAAATCTTTTACATTAAAAAAAAACTCAATAAGGCAAAAAAAATAAAAAAGTATTTTAGTAATTTGTAATTATTTATTAATTTCATAAATATTAAATAAGTCATTTACATGTTAAATAAATAGATAAATAAATAATTTAACATGTTAAATAAATAAAACATTTATTTTTACTACTTTTTAGGTTTTAACAA